CGTTAGTCTGAGTGGATGTGAGGTCGGAAGCCTGTGGAGCAGGACAACCTCTAGGCCGAGCGGCTGTGGGGCGGGGCGGCCATTAGTCTAAGCGGCTGTGATGTCGGGAGGCTGTTAGGCTAGGTGGTTGTGGGGCTGGACAGCCGTTAGGTTGAGCGACTGTGAGATCGGGCAACCGTTAGTCCGTGCTGCCGCAAGGACAGACAAGAACTTGCTGAGATTTCAAATTGACCATTCATGAATTGGAGGATCCGATTTTCCTTCCTGAGCTATCTGGCTTGAAGAGTGACATACTCATCCTACTGGGCCTGATCAAATGAATTTTTCAGAGGTGATCTTCCTTTTATCCATCTGAGGACGCCTTCCCAATATGTGGAACTAGTCAGCTGAGCACGCAGTCCCGGGTCATCCTAAGTAGGCCCCAAGGGTCACGTCACCCGCTTTGTCATCCGCAAAATGTCTTTGCGATTCATGCTGACACATTTTCAATGTACAGACGCATATATAAAAATTGAAGTTTAGTTGTTGGATATGTAAATACAAAAGTGGAATGTATGTAAATCTTTCTTTTTGTATCCCTTCTCATATATATGACTCCATTTATAATACAAGTCCCGCCATTCTATTTCCCTATATCAACCAAGAAGTGACTTTTATCTCCAAGAATCGAATTTGAGTTGTTCTCTGCTTCCGAATGTCACTTCTTGGTCCCAGTGCACGATTTGTTAGTTCACTGTAAAAGTCACTTATTTGCCTCAACTACAAGTCCCGCTTAAGCACGAGCCAAATAACCCATAGTTTACTTAGGCAAATAGAGGCACTTGATCTTGATGAATAACTCACCCATTTCATCTTTTCGCACTTTTGGAAGCATTAAGCCACTTAGAGGCATTACAGTTGCATTATTGTCAGACGTTTGCATTTATGAGTTGTGCGCTATCAATTGTTGAAAATATGACAGTAAAGGCGTAAAATGGTGATAATCACTTGTTTAAAATGAGATTCGCATGATATTCAGCTAAAAAATAGAACCAAGGAGCCAGGAGAAATTTTATAAGTACAAACACTCCCTTATTTATAAGAGATTTTCTAAAACAATGAAGAAAAATAAAGAAGGAAGTTACTAAAGGTTAAATAAAAGGAAGTAATTTGGGAGCTTTCATAAATGATAACTTAATAATGAAATAACACTTCAGATAGAGCATCTTTCTTAATGTAGAATAACGAAGTTAAGACATGTCTCATTGCTGCGTTGATGACTTCTTTGATATTGACAATATGGCATTATATGCTGATAGTGTGTTATGTCTTGTTCTCCAGTAGAAGAAAAACTAAAATCTAAAAATGGCTTTAGCAGGATAGGTGTCTAATATAGTAAGGGTGACGCATTGTAAAACTTCACTAAAAAGACATGCTATTTCTAAGAGCTGGAAGAACTTCCTAGTAAGGCTGCAAAAGAATTGAGTGCTTGATAAGTTACTTGTAGCTCGGCTCGATATAAGATTGTTCGTGTTCATCTGATTATCTAAATGAACAAGTTTGGATGTATTAAAAAATACTCAATTATTAAATGAACAAGCTTGAACAACTCCTTATTTGATTTGTTTATGGTCGCGAACAATATGATTTTAAATTTGCAGACAAACTCGATGAATAGTTTCATTTAAAGTTCATGAATAAGCTTGTGAATAAGCATTATTTAATACTTATGAATAAGATTAGTTAAATCAATTAAGGCTCAATTTAAAATATATTTGAATTAAATTAAATTTTATTCTTTGATTCATAGTATAGAAAACAAGATAAAAATTTCTTTGCTTAGTTGTCAATTTATTTTATTTGTTTGTTTAATAGCTCGTTCATTTAAACTCGTTTATTTTTATAAGTTCAACAAATAGCTTATTTATAAGCTTTATAAAGCTCGTTTGATTGAAAAATAAATAGTTCAATTATATTAACTCGTTACATTGTTCAATAAGTCTCATTTAGTTAGTAAATAAGTAATAAAATATCACTAATTTTGACTTGCTCAATAAAAGACATTTCGATTGCAATTAAGTAGTTTGAAATCACTTGTTATTATCATCATATGAACCAAATTGATTGATAAAGAATGAAAAATGAGCTAACTGTGAACATAAACACAAAAGTTCTTTATAAACAAGTTCGAGCTTGAACACATCCCTGGTCGACTCAGCTCGGTTCGTTTGCAACCCTACTTACTGATGATTAAGAAAGAGGTGATGTTTAATAGAGCATATAGTGATCTTATCTAGAAGCGAAACCAGTCACTTTTTTCAGGGAAGGCAAACTATCTCTCTAGACTTAACATGGCAGGAACTATGGTAACGAAGAGCAAAATAATATTTAAGAAGAGGCAGAACAGATATTTTAAGAGAGGCAAAACACCAAATTGCCCTTCTAAATAAATAAAAATCTGAATTTGAGAGGGGCAATTGCCCCCATGGGTCCGCCCCTGATCTCATCAGTCATGATCTGTTTCATTCTATTTTAAAAAAGGCATGTAATGGTAATAGCATGAACAAAAATAATCACTATTGGCGAAACTCCCTCTGTAGCTTCATTACTAGAAAACACCAGATGTTGGATTTGCTTATAAAAAAATATTTGATAATCAATATAAAAAATGAGACTAATTTGATAGTGTTAAGTATGGGATCTTAGTTTTTTCAAGAATTTGAATGGCCGAGAAAGAATGAGGATGAAATTTCTTAAAAGAATTGCACGAAAGCTTTCCTAAGAAAATGTGAATAAAGCATAATCTATTTAATGAAATCAACAAACAATTTAAGAAGAATTAACGATCTATTCTTTATTGTTTATGAAGCAATATGGATTTTTTATAGCCATGCAGTTTATGCATATGTTCAGCAAAACTTAATGCTAGACAATGAAATAGGATGATTAGTAGATAAATAAATAGTATCAGCATTTATTTGTAAATAAACTCACAAAAAAAGAATTAAAGTTGTGCCAAAATTGACTCATGTGTGCCAAAAATGTCCACTAAATCGAGTTTTACTGTAAAAAAAAAAATAGAAGTGGGAATCGCGTGAAGCTGAATGATTTTGTAAAGAAATAAACAAGCTATGTGCAAAGCATTTATTGTGTTGTTGAAACTAAAAGGTTGGCCATCTTAGAGAAGCAACAAACTATGATAAAGATAAAGTTATATTTGTTGGAGATCCTGATAAACTTAGGAATGAAGTCCAATTTAATATCTTTCCTATAAAATTTGGATGAAAAATGGCATGCAATTTTCAATGGTTTGCTTAATCACTTCACCACAGTGGCTAGTCTAAACATTGAATAATGACATAATTACCCCAAAAGAGAATCTCTCAGAGATGTCTATAGAAAATAGATGAGTAATCCTTAAGAATTTAAAAATCATCATGATGTGTGAAAAATAACAAACAAAAAGTGGAATGGAATTTTAGCAAGCATAGATTCTCTTCAAAAAAAAAATCATCATGATGTGTAAATAAGAAAGTAGAATAGAATATTAGTGTTAAGCGAAGCATATATTCTCTTAAAATTAGAGCTTGAAGTTCTGTCTTCTTTGGCTGGAAAAGGCTAGGAATTAAAATAGACATCAAGGTCAAGAAGTAATAGTTATTGACATGAGTTAGTGTGGTGTAAGTTCTCATTATTAGAATAAAGGACAAACTCATGAGGAAAGATATTGATAAGTTCTTTAGGCCCTCATTTTTCATAATAAGGGATAAACTTGTGTGATAGAGATGATGACATTGGTATTATAAGGCATGGATGACTGCATAAAGCTAATGATCAAATTGAAATAATATTGTTTAATCTCATTAAGAAAAATGGGCTATGAGATGTCCTATCTTAATTAAACATCATGGGAGACTTGGTCATTTTAAATGTAATTAATTTAAAGTAAAGTTGGTCAAAGGTGGCTATTATAATACTTCATTTTTTGTGACAACTTTTAGCGGATCCATGATCATGCATTCATGTTAAACCTTCCAGTAAATTTATGGTAAAACATAGCTATGCTACAAAAGCTATAAGCCAAAATCATAGATTAAACCAAAAATGCTATAAACTTTGAGAAATTCAATCAGCTAAGACAATAAACACAGGAAAATGAACCTTTGTTTGTTTGAAAAAAAAATGCATTTAATTTGATTTATGTTATCTTTAGGGTATCCAAAACTGACGGATTGTGACCAATGGTGATAAAGCTTAAGATGCCATCCACTAAAAGACATTTGATGATAAATGATGTAGTAATTGGTCCATGACTCACCGGCATATCAAAATGCTTACAAAAATCTGCTCACCTTTCAAAAATAGTTTTCCACTCATCCTCTATACAGATATATAGCTAGTGGTAGCTACATTGCAAACTATTTAAAAAGTGAACCTAAGGGGTTGTTTAAAACAATTATTTTTTAATTTATTATTTTTACTTTATTTTGTTAATGTTTTGATTTGAATTAGAACATATTTGGTTATACTAATTATTTTTAAAAACACTATACAATTTAGGTGTTTTGAGTGTTTTTAAGATAAGGTAAGGTGAGTTGATTTTTAAAATAAAAAATAAAAATATATAAAAACATACAGACGAAACATGCTCTCAAAAATACAAAACAAAGATGAAAATAAAAATAGAAAACAAAAATGAGAACATACAGACCTTAAGCATGACATCTAAATGTGATACAGGAACGTGATCAAGTGATGTTTGATGATGATCATTTTGATGATCCGACTATCAAAACACATATATCAAATCTCATCATCCTAAAAAAAAAAGGAAGAATGCAGGGATGAGATAAATATCAAGTTCAACTTTAGTGAAGCCTTTAGTTGAGATGCCTACCATTAAATTATTTTCTCAAGTTTAGCATGCTTCTTATGACTAGCCCTGTAATAATAAAGAATAGCTAAATTTATATCATGGACAATCATTAACATGTTGAATGTCTTGTATAGGAGGTGTCTTGTATAGGAGGAATAATCATCAGGGATAATCATTTCCCATAATGTGTTTGTTAACAATACAATTATTCTACTAACTAATATTGATAATATATTAGAATAAGTTGACTTCCACCAGTTCACCATGTTCTTCGCAGAGTTTGAGCTACTCTAGAATGAGTTTATGACGCCCAAAATGAGTTCATGCAAATTTGAGCGAGTTCTTCTTTTATCATTTCAACTTTACCGATCCGGCCTAAATCAATCCAAATTAACTAGCACCAACAATTTGGACAAACAGAGTCCACTGATTTTATAAATTTATAAATACCTAGCTAACAGATCAAATAAAATCACTTTCAAACCAAAACATTAACATTAATAAATCAAAACCTTTCAAAAACATCCTTTTCATTCAACCACTCTGCACTTCTTCTTTCTAAAATCTTCAGGGCCAACAAGCTTTAAACCACTCGAGTTCATCTCTTTCCACAAATCCATGGCCGCTTCTATCTTCCCAAACTTCCTCAAATTACTGATCATTGCACGATATACATATATTGAAGGACAGTGACGCTTTTTCATTTCACCAAATAATATCATTGCGTCATTAACATGACCTGCTCTTCCAAGACCATCAATCAATGCTGTATAAGCTTGCAAATCCAACTCAAATCCTACATCAATCATTTCTTTTGCAAAAGCTTTACACAAATCCAACCTGCCAAGCCTTCTAAGGCAATTGATCAAGGTGTCATAAGTAACAGTATCTGGAGAATAACCCAACTCTTTCATTAATGAAAATTCAGACAGCATTTTGTAGACTTGACCAGCTCTACCTAAGATAGCCAGGACTGTATTGAACGTTACCGTGTCGATTTTACAGCCATGATTCTTCAGTTCTTCAAATATCATCACACTTTTATTGATTTGGCCGGATTTGGCAGTCAGAAATATAATCCTGTTTACAACAGTAGGATCACTATGGACAGTGTTCTCTGAAACTTCTTTGATGAATTTTAGTAGTTTTGAGTCAGACAAACTTGGAAGAACCCTTGCAACATTAAGATATGAAATTAAATCAGGGGGTAGTTTTGAAATGAGTAATTTCTGGAAGATATCACAGAAAAGATCAAAGTCACTAGTTTCAGCTGCTTCAGCTAGAAGTGAGTTGTAAGCATTCAGATTTGGATGTAATTGTTTATCATTAGAGTGCTGCAACAAAGAGACAGCATCAGATAAGTTGCCAACTTTACAGAGTTTCTCAATCAATATACTGCACATATCTTTTCTGTAACATACTTCGTCTTTCTCGTTTGAGAAGAAAAGTTGCAAGGCCTTTGTCAAAGATTCATCAGTAACGGAAATGGCTGTTGAAATTTTCCGGTAATGGCCAACTTCTGATGCTAACTCAGATTGTTTGGAAGACAATGATGACATTAATTTAGCCGGAAAGGAGTTACCAATCATAGATTTCTGTGGGTACCAGAGCAGAAATCAGAAATAATATAATCTTTACAGTTAAGTAAATAACAATGTAAGAAAAAACAATGCTCAAATAAAAATTTGAAGGGACGATAAATGAAGATGAATTATAGCAATATTTTTCCCTTGTTTTCACGCGTCAACATCCAGCATCCTTTATTAAATTTTCAACAAACAAAAAGAAAAGCTTAGGACTTATTTGGGATTAATTTTATTTTTTAGCTTCTAAAAATAAATTAACTTGTTTTTTAAAACACTCAAAACAACTTTTAGGTGTTTTGGATGTTTTTAAAAACAATCATATCTCAATCAAACATGCTAAACATGTTTTCTTTAAAATCAATACATTAAAAATTAAAAAAAATAATAAAAAGAAAATTAGAAAATAAAAAACAAAATTGACTCAAAACGGGCCTTTTGAGGCTATTTGCGCTCACTTTGATTAATTGTTTTCTACTTTGTATTCTTGTTTTGTTTATGTTTTGATTTGAAATAAAATATATTTGTTTAAAAATAAATAAAGTGTTTTAACAAATATTCTAATCAAATTTTAGTTTTTTTTTTAGTTTTTAAAAGCAGGAAAAAAACACATGAAAAATACACAAAATAAACATACTTTTTTAAAACAACGACAAAAAGCAAAAATCTGAAAAGTCTCATAATCAACCATTTCTGGACTAATGGATTTGATGATGTTCATAGCTTCGTAAAAGAAGGTATAAAAGCTTTGCATCACATTTCATAGTTCAATAAAACCCAAAAAAATGCTAATTTTAGCATATGCAATGTCAAAAGGGTAGGTAATGGGAAATGTACAAATTCAAATCTTGACCTGACAAATAAATCTTGACATATATTAGTTTCTAATCCTTGTTCTTAGACTTAGGGTCCGTTTGGGACAGCTTAAAAGTGCGGTGGCATTTTTGAAAACGCCGCATCGTTGTTTAATTCGTGCGTTTTAATAGTGTTTTTAAAAACAGCGTTTTAGTGTTGAACTAAACGCGGACCGTGGCATTACCCCTGCGTACCGCGTTGGCACACCAGCTTTTTACACCCCTGCCCTCGTCGCTAACCCCATCTTCGCCTCCGAGCCCAGTGCTCTTTGAGTGACCTATCGGTGTCGACAGGCGAGCCAACGAAGAAAAAGGTTCGTCCAATGGCTTCGGCACTCACCGCCGCGGTACCCCCAACCTTACCGCATTGCACCAGAGCTCGTCGGCGGCCTCCGCTTCTCCGATCTCAAATTCAGTCTCACCGCCGCTCTTATTCACTCATCGCTCTTAGCAATGAACCCTCCAGCTTCGCCGAAATCCCCCTTCTTAACTTCTCCGCAACTTCTTCTTCTCATCTACACCGTCCTCGCGCCCAATCGCAGAAAGACTCCTCTCCATCTTCCTCATCGCCTTCTTCCGGTGAGCCCAGCGCCGCCGAGGCGTTCGCCTGGCCCGCAGTCGTTCTTCCGTAAGTTGAATCGTTTATGTCTGGAAATTAGTTTAATTTTGTCTTGAATGCTGGCTCCATCCATTATCCAGGTTTTTGTTCCCGACTCTAGGTGAGGGATTCATCTATTTTTCTGTGTGGTATCCATGTAAGCCCTGCTTTTGATCTGTGTTTTGCTCTTTTTATCATTTATGTGAGGTTGCTTTGGTTTGGATGTTACAGGATCCTTTATTTTTAGATGTTAAAGCAAACGAAGCACAGTCAAAATGAGTAAAACTAATGAGGTCCGACAACGTTGCACGAGGTTTGACGGTGTCACAATCGGAAACCATCACTTGTGGTTCAAGTGTTTACCAACCGCATGATGTTGCTCAGGGTTCTCTCGTGCAACAACCGAGCAACGGTTCTCATGAGTTGTTGCTTTCGCATTCTAAATTGAATGTTATAATCCTATTACTAATTGTAGTTTTAATATGTATTTTGATTTTAATTTTGCAAATAAGTTGTTTACAAAACGCACAAACCAAACAGCTAAACCAGCTTTTTCGGATCAGCTGCCCATCAGCAGATTATCAGAATCAGTTGTTTATCAGCAGAAGTTGAATAAGCTGCATCTACCCCAAACAGACCCTTACTCATCCCAATTTAAGATTGACATTTATTATAAAGTGACTTGAGGACGTCCATGAAAGAATGTGTCACTGGAATCATTCAAATGACTAACATAAAAAACAAAAACAAGACGTGGATGGTACTTTTAATATTAATAAAAGTAAGAGATGTCAATATACGCTGGCTAGCAAGACCATCTATAAACTATAAAGAACTTGTTAATCGAAAGCTCACATTTTCAACTTCATTTGACATCTAAATTAATGCAAATAGAATGCGATAGATCTAGAAATAAAAATAATATTGTATGATCGAACACTTACTAGTTGTCACACTATAATGAAAATGGAAAAAGTATACATATTTTTCTCATTTAAATTGAGGAAATGAAACACATATTAATGACCCAGAAAATTTTCCATAATGATGACTGCAATGGTGCTGATATTGCTCAAATATATGCAAATGAAAAAATAAAGTTCAGTCTAATATGCTTAAAGTAGGGGTGTATAACAAAAAGGCTAATCCGAAAATCCAAAGCTCACTAGTTAAATGGATTTGTGGTTTGATTCTGTTTGATTGGCATTTTCTCTACAATGACTTGTTTGGTTAGGTTTAAATTTGAAGTTTTGCAGCAAACCAATTTATTAAATATATTATATATAATTAACAAACATATCACTTAGTAGTTGATCAATTAATTCAAATGGAATCACAACCTTTCTTTAATTTTACACAGCCCAATTGGCCCAGTAGTTAAGTGCTTTGTCTCAGATCTTGAGTTCAAGGACTAGCACACATGAGTCTATGCATGAGTTTAAAGAAAAAAAAAACTTCCTTTGATTTATCTTTATATATATGATACTACTGAAATTCAAATGTGAGGATCAGATTTGTCACAAAATTTAATTAGCATAATTATTAGCTTTCTTTATTTCTACAAGGTTGTTTCCTATTTTAGGGAATCTAATTGAGGGTTGATATATAGCAATAGGAAATAAAAATAAAAAATGTAATTAAGGACTGATTTGATGTAATAAGAAAAGAAAAACTTCCCCACCCCTAGGTATTGTTCCCCTTGTAATTCAGAAGGGCAAAGGGATGAATACAATTCCCTTACTCAATTTTTTTTATGGTATCAACTATCAAAGCATGGACTATGATACTCGCATACGTCTACTCTTCGACTAAGAAAATTTTTATCCACCAGTTGATAAATGTAGAGATCATCACCATAAAACATCGCAGTAGTTCACACACACATGCTCTATAATGGCGGAAAATATAGAGGAACTATGAAGCCACATGTTCAATGAGCTCCATTGATTTGAAAAGACTTGTAATTATTCAGTAAGTTCATTGAATCATATTTCTAATAAGTGGTAGTAACTTGATCCGAAATGAAATTTTAGGTATGTTTTCAAAATAAAAATAATAATAATAACGGGCATATTTCTTCAATTATGAGGCATATAAAGTCAAATCACCAGTCTAAATAAAAAAATTCAGTTCTTCGACTAAAATAATAACAGTAATAATTAGAATGTCAACTCAAATTTCCAACCTCTTCAACAAAAAGCTTATGGCATTCCCTCCGATGATACCCTAATAGTTAAAGCATTACATTTCTGAAACCTGATTTACTATTTTGGAGTAGCCATGCACACTTTACTTCACAGAATGACAGCATTGCACACAAGCTAGCTGAAAAATTCCACTTTCCTAAAAATTTCGGCAGAGCAATGCCCTAAATTTATATCTCATAGAGATTAAAAGTGGAAGGAAAAAAAAAACGGAAAAATTCATCATCCGCGTAAATTTTGTCATTGAGGCGAGCAAATTACCGATCTTCCATGACGAAAGCCTAAACAGCCACTATAGTTGTGCTCGCAGTATTCGCTATCTCCATCAGCTCCAGGCTTGAGGTGACCCGCTTCAGAAAAGAAAACCCTAGAGCATCTGTGGCAACCACTGCAAGCATATCCGTCCAACAAAAGTCGGAAACTTAATCGAGATAAATTCATCGTCAGCAATGGCATGAGCCGATACCGATACATAACCGCACGCCAACCCTAGACCAGGAGAGCGGGACACCATTTACCCAATAGAAACACTGAGGATTACGTGCTTCGTTCTGAAATGAACCGTAGACGACGCTGAGAACGGCAGCTGGTACCTGAGTTCTTCGAGTTGCTGATAATGGTGACTGAAATATACACAAGATAAACGTTGAAAGGTTTCTAACCCTAATGTCTGTTTGGTTGCAAATTAGTAAATCCTTTAAATGGATTTAATAAATTTTGAGATTAAATTCAATTAATTTAAGGAATTAGTTGGTAATTTGTTTCAATAAATTAATTTATATTGGATTTTAAGACCAAATTTTTAGAAGGAGCATCTTTATTAATAGTTTATGGGGGAGGAGCTTACAAAAAAAATATATAGTATAGTTTATTATAAATAATTTAAATATTAATATATATGTAGTTTATTCTAAATAAATTCGTTAATTATTTTTTACATTAATAAAAATATTAATTTTTTTAATTATTTAATACATTAATTAATATTTAAGTAATATTTAATTAATTCAAAAAATATACTTGAACAAAATAAATTAACTAACAATATATAAAATTCTTAAAATTTATTTCACATGAAAATATTCTCATAATATCATATTTACAAAAAAAAAAGCTATTATTTTGTATGATGGGGTGGAATGACGTCTGAATCTAATGTATATCGAGATAATGGTCGCATTAGTTGATGTTGCAACTGATATTCTTAAAATTCTTCTTCAATATCATCATCTTCAATTGCATCATTTGTAGTTTGTTATGACATCCAATAATTTTGTAACGAAAAATTGTTCATATAATAAATAAATGAAAATATTGGATGTCATAACAAGCTACAAATGACACAACTGAAGACGATAAAGTTGAAGAAGAATTTCAAGAACATCATTTGCGACGTCGACCATTGCGACCATCGTTTAGTTGTACATTTGGCTCAGGCACCAATCCACCCCAGCGTAGAATGATCATATTCTTTTATAAACATAATGCTACGAGAATATTTTCATGTGAAATAAATTTTGTAAATTGTATATATTATAAGTTAATTTGATTTGGTTAGTTTAAATGAATATCCTCACAATGACCAAAAAACATTCATATTCACTTGTTTTGAAAAATGAGGAGCATGCTTATCCTTTATAAAGAAAAGTTATCATTTTTGTTATTACATATCAGTGAATAATGGTGAAAGAATTGCATATTCTAGGTATCCTTTTTCCCTTTTTGAAATTCTCTTTAGTTGATTAGTTCTGTAGCTTGCAGCGCATTAGCTGGAGGTACATAACAAGGGTGTGAGAATACTTATCTGATCTCTTGTTCCCACTCTCAGATTACTCCTTCCTTTACTTCGGCTGCTCTCTGCTACCTCTGCTGATCTCCTCGTGAAGCCTTAGGGCTCAGCTGATAAAGATAAAAACGTTTTATATTAGTTTTCCAATTAATAACAATGTATGTTTTGCCCCTTTGTTTATTTACAAGTTTGTCATTGTAATTACTATATATATGTAACCTCTATTTGAATGTATGTAAGATTGAAATGTGTAAATAAAGGATAAGAAGACTTATCTTTCTTCAAGTGCATTTTATAATGTCTTCCTCCAAATCTTCTCTGTTCTCACTTCTCTTCTTTTTCGATCTCCTCTTTCATATGGTATCATAGCCACGCAGCTTCACAACAAATATGAACTCCAACTCCTTCATTTCAACACAAGAACCTAAACTAAATCAACGATCTCTCCAAAAGATCAAAGAAATCAGTATACCAATGTCTCTAAAGTTCTTGATGTCTCACATCAAGAATATTGTCAACAAACCCCTCACACAAGATAATTAGATGGAATGGAAGGTTCGGATTTCTAAACTTCTCATTGCCAATGGTTTTCAGTCTTTCTTGGACAGGAAATTTCCCATTCCCTCAAAATTCATTCAAGACGAAAATGGAAACTTTATAGAAAATCAAGATTACTTGTTATGGCAACTCATTGATCGAAACATTGCCACTGCAATCTTTTCCACTATCACTCCCCCATCTCACCCCACACACTTCATTTAAGCCATACCAATGATATTTAACAAAGACCACAAAAAAAACAATTTCAATCCACAAATAGATCTCGTGTCACCCATCTCCAAAATGAACTTCATAACATAAACATGGGGCACATACTATGTAGCGATACTTAACCATTATAAAGATTTTAATGGAAAATATTGTAACGACCGACTCATGAACTGTCTTATTTACAAAATGTAATGTAACATCTTTTTTGATAAAAACTCAGAATTTGTCTGCTAAATAAAAAACTTAAATTACTTAGATGTATGACAAATTATGAATTTTTAAGTGTTACTTCTAGCATGTTCATGTGTCAGTCACATAGATTGGGCTGAGGGTTATCCTCATTTGATTGCCTTGCTGGTAGCTTTTTACCTTATATTGGGTCTCATATACATGATGTTGATGGTTGTCTATGGAATTCCTTCGAGAATTATCAGGGCTTCGGTCCTGATTCTGAGCCCACCCCTAACTTGAATTCTTATACTCAGTTTCGATCTTTCATATATGTGTCACTTGACTTTTTATATATACATATGCTCATGTCTTTTGTTGTTTATTTAATTCGCCGTAAATACTTGTATGTCTTACCTGTAATTTTAAACTCTTTAGCAACGACTTCAGAGGCAAGAGGTATATACTGTCATTTTCTTTTTACTCCAATTTTTATTTTATCGTACTTTACTGTATATATTTATTTGGTTACACATGCAACATTACTATTCTGTTACTTATTATACCTCTAAAACACCCATAGGGTACAAGACAGTAGGCCACATGTTCAGGAGGAACCCTGCACAAAAAAAAAAAAAACTCAATGACCCAACAATAACCAATAATAACCAATTCAACACAAACACACTTCCTAAAACCTAAAACTATTATTATAGGAAACCTAGAATAAGTGCTTGTGAAGCAAGACGAGGATGCAAACGGGCAAAGGACAACTTCAAATGGCGATTAAGACAAACATGAAGCAAATGCTGATCCTCAACTAAACTTTTCATAGATTTAAATAACATGAACCCTTAAAAATCGAGGTTGTCCATCTAGTACGAGTAAATCCTCACTCTATCTCTTATGTATTTGTATAATTATGTTGTACAACATAAGTCCTAACTCTTTTTGAAATTCCAAGGTTATTTGTTTGATACGACGTAAACTCTCCTATCTTCCTAGGTTATTTGTATGATCATATATTGTGCAAATGTAAGCCCTAATTTTAAATAATTGGCAGGAGTAAATATCAAATAAACATCATTTCTAAATTGTAAAGCCAAACAATAGGATAGTTTGGGAAGTCATCGGGTTTCTCCACAAATTTGCGACATCCCCAACTTTTCTTTGATCTCCAAAATAATTGTTTCTATTTGAACCCTTTCCACTTGACTTTTCTCATAAACAGTCTTGAAAACTCAACTTTGAATTCTTCAAGATGAAACCTCTAATTTTAATCGAGAGTTTTCTTAAGTTATTTCGGTCTCTTGAGATGTAATTAACTATAGAGATTTGCCCTTATAAGAAATTAGGAACTCAGATAATATAAACTCTATATAATCTTTATATTACGTAGGGGAATTGTCAGTCAAAAATTTCGTAGAATAAATGAATGTCATAAATTTCTTAGTTTATATAATTGAGCTCATAATCAAGCAATATGTTTATCTTTCGAGAGGGTGCAATGCTTGTAGTGATATGCTCGATTTTCAAGCTATTAAATATATGAGATCCACATTGTCTCATTTTTCAAAATCAAAATACTATTTCTCAAAACCATATATATATTAAAATTATTTTAAAAAAATCAACAGACAAACGCGTGTAGGAGCACTCCGTAACTTTCCTTGACTGTGAGGTGGGATCCAGATGGATACAAAGGGACACCTAAACACCAGAATTAACATCAAACATGTCCAATGTCCTGGATGAGTCCATCCAACTGCGGGTTCTCCCGGGTGGGTGTCTTGAATCATTGCAAACCCTGATTTCGTGGCCCGAACACCTACTGGAGGTCTCGGATGGGTGTCTTGAGCTATGAAATGCTACGAGTGAGCAATGAATCGTCCCAAGCTAGTCATGTGGATACCCTACACACGTGACATCAAAAATTGATGCCCACAATATGCAAATTAAATAAAGCACTCTATGATCTCAAACATGCACCACAACATTGATATTCGACATTTTGTAATTTTCCTTATGCTCAAAAATTTATTCTTAGTACCGCTGATTCTTCTTTATTAATCTATCATCATGATAACATATGTATTTATATTCTCGTTTATGTTAATGATATTTTAATAACTAGTAACTCCTATACAACCATTACAAAACTAAGTCAAACTCTTAGTATGCAATTTAACTTAAAATAGCTCAGTCCCATTTCTCACTTCCTCGGCTTAAATATTCAGCCCACCACATATGGATATTTTCTTAATCAAACTCACTACCTCATTGAGCTTCTACACAAAATCAACATGGCTCAAGCTAAACCTATCTTAACTCCCCTTCCCACAAAGCTCCAAACTTTGGCTGATCCTCCCCACCCTATACAGACAAACTATTGGAACTCTTCAATATTTTAACCCTTCCTCACCCTGAAATAGCCTTCGCTCTTAACTACCTAAGCCAAAACATGCATCAGCCTTCTACTCTTCATTAGCAACAATTAAAACGTCTGCTCAGGCATTTATAAGGTATTATGCATTATGGCTTACCCATTATTTTAGGACCTCTGCTACTACCGGCTTTTGCAGATGCTGATTGAGCCTCAGATAACAAAGATAGAAAATCCATTTTTGGATTTTGCGTCTGTTTGGGTCCCAACCTTATATCATCGTCCGTGAAGAAATAACCCACTGTTGCTCGAGCCTCAAACAAAGCTGAATACCGAGCTCTCGCATCTACCACTACCGAAATTATTTGGCTAAGAAGGTTGCCATAAGAGCTAACAAATCAACACATCCATCCAACCACACTCTACATCGATAGTACTTAGGCTTTTGCGCTCGCATACAATCTCGTATTCCACGCTCAAACCAAACATATCGAAGTGGATTGCCACTTCATCCGAGATCACATCAGACTCAATGAAATCAACCTTCCACATCTAATGATCGAGAATCAAAATGCCGACATCTTTACCAAATCATTATTTACCGCTCGGCATCACAAACTAACAAAAGCTGACAATCATTCAACCTGATCATCATCTTGAGGGAGGGAAACAAGGATGTTAACAATACTTACCTGATCTCATATTCTAATGCTCGGATTGATCCTTCCTTTCCTTTGGCTACTCTCCGCTACATCCATTGTTCTCCTCGTGAAGACTGAGGGCTTTGCTGATAAGAAAAATTATTCCATACGGATCGGGCACTTGCATGCGTGCGGTGCCCGATCCGGTGGGCCCCACCTAAATTTTTTTTTTTACATAAAAAAATAGAAATAATCTACGGTCAGGATCGGACACCGCATGCAGAGATGCATGCGGTGTCCTCACGCAATAATCTCTCTGCTGATAAAGATAAAACATTTTATATTACTTTTCCAATTAATAGCAATGTTTCTTTTGGTGTGCCGCAAGCTGTGGTCTGCTGGTTAGCGGAAGTCACTGTGAGTTTTCTTTGGTCATGGGTTTGATCCCCAGTGACGTTGGTTTCTCGAATATTTACGCACATGACGCAAGCTCTCATCATGGGGCTTAGAGCATGGGAAATCAGTATTTGGGCATTTGTCAAAGACCGATTTCCTTTAATATATATATATATATATA